TATATATATATATATATATATATATATATTTTTTTTTATTTATTTTATTTTATTTTATTTTTTTTGGAGAGGTTTTTGCTATAGGGCACATACGCTCGCCAGAGAGACAGAAAGACAGAAAGCGAGAAATCACCCCCCAGGGGGGATGACCACGCCGCAATCCCTTCTCCTCCATTCTCCTCTCAGGATCTTGGGCATGCACGCACATGTGCCCGGTGTGAGTTTAAGCCACCGGGTCCAGGACTCGAACCACGGTCGACTACGGGGGAGTCCAGCGACAAGGCCATTACGCTAACTGCTGGTCCCTAGGTTTTATATTTTTGAGATTCAATGAGGTCATTGTTTTTCAGCCTATTTTTGATCACACCAGTAAGGATTCTTTTTACATACTCTTCCCCTGATCATCTCTTTCTCTCCCCATGAAATTTTTATTTAGTTTTATGTACTGTGACTCTATGGAGGGCCACAAACTATTTAACACTAATCGTGGGTATAAAATGAGAGTTTATTTGGGTTTTGTGCGCATTTCTGTGAGCACTAAGGAGCATCAACCTCCTTTTTGAGTGTGTGAACCATTTGTATTTCTCCTATGATCTACTTTGGACTTCTGTACTTTGCCCCTTCTTTATTGATTGTTTTCTTTGTAAATTTTTTATTAGTCCTTTGTTAGTTATATAATACAAGTATACTTTCCCATTTTGTGGCTTTTTTTTTTAAGGTTAGGACCAGCAGATGGTGTAATGGTTATGTTGCTCTGTAAGGGTCCAGAGATCGGTCTAACTGATGGAGATACAGAAAAGACAATGACAATGCAACTGCAAAAGAGGCTTTTATTTTTCCACCTGGCTGGGGTCCAAGTTTCTGCCCGTAGCAGCGGGCCTTCACAAGGACCCCGTACCTAAGATAAAGGGATCTTTTATAGTTCAGGATGTTCCCTAGAATGTAACACACACAAAGGAGGGGGGTTATGAGAAGCGAGGGTCCAGCTTTCACCACCTGCTCAGGTCTAGATAAGGGCTCTCAGCTAAGGGTTTGGATGACCTTGCCTCAGGGGTGCTGGGCCCTCCCGTTTTCCACTATCTGAGAGTTCCCAGTCTCCTGGTTCCTGTCCTTGAAGCCCTAACAAAGTGGGCTCCGTCCTTGAAGACTTAACAGGGTAGCAATTAAGCTAACTTGCCCCAGCATTCCCCAACATGGCGGTGATTATGCTAACTTGGCCTAACAATATGATTTACATTTAATCATTACACATCTTATAGGGTACAGAATGATCTTTTAAAGCATGTAGTATATAATAAATAAATTGAGGATATAAACATATTCCCAGCCTTCAACATTGAACATTATATTATGTTAGGAAAATTCAAAACCTGCTCCATTGGTTATTCTGGAAATATGTACTGAATTGACTATAATTTTTTTTTAAGGGAGATTTTTTACTGTAGGGCATGTGTGCTCACCAGAGAGACAGAGAGGGACAAAGAGACAGAAAGCAAGAAATCATCCCTCAGGGAGATGGCCACACTGCAATCCCTTCTCCATTCTCTTTTCAAGATTTTGGGCATGCTTGCACGTATGTCTGGTGTGAGTTTCAAGTCTCCAGGTCTGGGACCTGCACTGCGGTCAGCTATGTGGAAGTCCAGTAGTGTAACCATTATGCCATCTGCTGGTCCAAACTGTGACATTCTTTACTGTGAAGTAATCTTCTAAAGAAAAACAAACCAATTAAAAATCAGACAACTAAAAGTCTCAAACTAATGAGGGTAGGTTTTCTTAAAACAAGATCACCCTTTTTTAAAAAGAATTATTTTATTTAACTTCATTTATTATTATTATTTAATTTGACCAGAGATAGACAGAGAGAGGGAAAGTGAGAAAGCAAGCCTCCAGATCTGGGACTCAAACTGTGTCAGCCATGTGGGAATCCAGCGCCTTTAACCACCCTGCAACCTGCCGGTCCAAGATAATCTTAACATAGCCAATAAAAGAACTTGTCATTTCCATGTAGAGGACTGTGGAAAATAAGAGTTTATGTTCTGAAAAGATCTGTGGTATCACTGGTCCAGTTAGAGATAGGTTAAATTGTGCATTACAATAGCTTATTAGGAGGAGAGAGAAAAATAAAACTTTTACCCACTCACTGTGAGTTCTCGTAAGAGCTTAGTACTCTGCATAAAGAAGTAAGTCCTCAAAAAAGCAAAAACAGAACAAAATTGTACAGAGATGCTTAAAAGTAAAGACATGATCAAGTCAGTGATTTGGTGATTTATAGGCTTCACAAAGTTCTTGAGTTTTGCTTTCTTTGAATTCATTAAAAAAAGACTCATCTATTCTAATATTTTGGACTTTTCCTATTATCTAGTTTTTATACAATGAGTGATGGTTATACTCAATGTATAAATTGAAACTTGTGGAGACAACTCTCTATCAAATAATTGGTGAATTTGTACTTAAATATACTTGTGTGTAAGATAGTTGAATCTGTATTTTTAGCTCTTCAGTTTGGAAATTTACCTGACATTCAATGTTAGTAGTAATATGTGTGGACTTATCCTTTTTTTCCTAGTTATTTTATTGCATTGTCAGAAAAGTCATGACTCATTTTTGTATAGAAAAAATAATCACGACTTCTGACAACCCCATGTGTTCTCTTGCTTCTGTTATCTCTTTTTAGTTTTCCTGGTGTAGTATTCCCTTAAATACTTCTTGGAGAGCTATTCTACTGTTGGTGAATTCTTGCAGCTCTTGTTTATCTGGGAGTGATTTTATTTATCTTTCCATTTGAAGTGATTTTATTTATTCTTCTCATTTTATTTATCCTTCCCATTTGATTTTATTTATCCTTCCCTTCAATTTCTTGGCAGAAATTGTTTTCCTTTCAGCATTTCAAATATGTCTTCTCATTCTTTCCTTGCCTGCATTGTTTCAGTCCAGAGGTCCAGTGTTAGTCTAATGGAGTAACCCTTGTATGTAAGTTGGCATTTCCCTCTTGTTAATTTAGGATATTGCCTTTGTCTTTGATTTGTACCAGTATGGCTATGATATGCCTTGGAGAGGGCCTTCTTATATTTACTTGGTGTCCTTTGTTTTCTTGGATTTTGATGTCCATATGCCTCTCTAAATTTGGAAAGTTTTCAGCTAATATATCATGGAAGAGATTTTCTATGCCTTTGCCTATTAAACATTTGAATGTTTAATAGTATCTAGGATTTCCTGTATGCTGTCCTGATTTTTAATGGTTATCCTATTCTTTTTATTCACTTGGACTAAATTGGACTAACTCTAATTTGTCTTTAAGATCAGAGATTGTTTTTTTCTGTGTGGTCTAATTTGTTGTTGATACTTTAGAGGGAGCTTTTGATTTCCTGCATTGTATTCTTTATCCCAGAAGTTTCGTTTGATTCTTTTTAATGTGTCTGTCTCTTTTTGAAGTTCTTCAAGTCATGGAAGGATTTTCTCATTCCTGGAATTGGTTGTCTCTTAGTCTGATATCTCATTGAGTTTTGTAACAATTAATATTCTGAATTCTTTTTCTGACATTTCTCTGATGTTTTGTGTTT